GTCCTGAATGACATGAGTGGAAGCATTATCTGTGTATTTCAGCATACTTGACTCAGTCACACAGAGCCATTATATGCCACTAACAAGTGATTAATTTATTGGCAGAAGGTCAAGTGGGTGAGGGAGTTGTAGTCTTCAGAGGACGTCCTCTTCCCTGTCGTGTGACAGGGTGAGCTGCACTTCTCCTGCCAGCAGTTAGGGCCCTTCGTAAATGTGTGATAAATGTAATATAAAATAAAGCCTGGCAGCTCTGCTCAGCAGCAGATGAACTTGTTGATGGTCCTAGGCCATATTCTGCACTGGTGTTGTATCTGGCACTGGGACAGGGCAATGCAGGCCGCAGTGGATTGCATAGAAGGGGAAGGTCCCTTGCACTGGTTTCTGGCATCTCCCTTTCCCCAGACCTCAACAGGATGGAGATGGGATGGCTGCTCTTCCCAATTCTTCTCTAATTCATGCAGCCCCCTGGCTCCCAGGAGATATTTCCAGCTGTGGTGGACCCTGTATTTTTCACAGGTGAAGGGGTAATGTATCTTCTGGAGTTGCACCTGGCTCTTCCTAAATCCTGTTCCCAAAACCTCTTCCCTCTTGTGCCAGGCTTTGTGGAGACAACCTACCCAACAGAGGTGGCAACCAAAGCCAACACACTCCTGGCCTGCTCCCCCGGTGAGCTCAGGAGACAGGAATGTCCAGTGTGTTGGTAGAGGGTTCCTGAGTTTTCTGGTCTGCAAAAGCCCAAAGCCTCTGGGAGGCATTTGATTTTCCTTTCTGGAATTAGCTTTAGTGCTGAAGGTTGGGTTTGGGCCAGCAAAGCTTCCTTTGAGCCGTCAACCATGCAAAAGACTCCTTGAGTCTGCAGAGTTTCCCTTAAACACAGCTCATCTGCTGCCAGAAATTTCCCTTGCCTGAATATTAAAATCTCCTCAAGAGCCGGTGAGGAATTGCCCAAAGGAAACGTGACCTTCCCAGCCATGCTGGCTCGTCTGGAGCGGGTGTTTGTGGCCATGTGACAGAGTGTGGGTGCCTGTACTGCTGTGCTGCAGGAAGAGGTGTTCTGTAGTGCAAACAGAAATAAAGCCTCTTCCTTGGCTGGGGGTCCAGAGGGAGGTGAGGTCAAGAGCTGGATCTGAAACAGGCAGCTGGCCTGTCAGAGCAGAAATCGAAGCATCCCCAATGTTTGGCAGGCGGTGTCTCCGTGGGCACGGCTGAACCAAGGTGCTCTCAGCTCATCCTTACAGCTGCAGGATGTCCTCAGGAAGGGAGAAGCCCATTCCACAAAGCGTGTTTGGCTCAACCAAGACATCCAAAAGCTGTTGGCAGAGATGTAGGGACTGTGTAAGAGAAATGACCCGGCCCTGTGATGAGCTTTTGCTGGAGCAAATCTTGCCACACCTCTGGGCTACTTGGGCCACTGAGGTCTCTCTGCCTTTTCTCCTCCCTTCTCCAGTCACACTAAAGTCTGTTTAACGGGGTGAATTTCCTTTCACATTGCATGAAAATCCCTCTGTGGAGGGATTTTATAAAGGCAGGTGGCTGGATTCAGGAGTGTAGCATGCTGTAGCTCATCTTGCAGCTCCTCAAGCTTCAAGTCTTGCTTTCCATTTCCCCATCCTGTGATGGGTGAAATGAAGTTGAGAACTCTTGGTCCCACTGGCAGCTGTGAGTCTGCTTTATCCCCAAACTTCCGCAGCCTGGGACGAATCTGGGGCAGGGCTGGCTGGAAAAGATACATGGGATCAGCCTGATCCTGAAGCACTGGGTAATTATTTCTAGGATTGGGAAAGACGGTTGTGAAATACCACTGTGAGCTGAGCACGTTGAGTTACTGAATGCGGTTGTGAACAATTAGAGCAAATGGGAGACCATGGCCCCGTTTTAGTAAATGGAACCATTTGGAAATTAAATCTTTCCACCTTTTTGCTTCAAAAGGCAATTTAACAGCTGACCCCCTGCTCACACTTGTGCTTGTCCAAACTGAAATGGCACATTTTGTCTGGGGTCCAATAAACCCTGTAGCTGACCCAAACACAAGGACTTTGGCAATGCTTAGTTTCTCATTTGCTTGTGTTTTTTTTGCTTAATTTTGTTTTGTTTGTTTTTCACTAAAGATAAATATTTGTGCTGCTAGGTCAGTCCAAAAGTAATCATCCTTTTTCCTCTGCTTGTCAGTGTGATTACTGAACCCCAACGCATCACTTATTAAACCTCACTCCCCTACCAGCCTGTTTGAGCATGACAGAGAGCTCAGAATCTGAAAATAAATTCAGTTCAGGTGTTTGCTGGAGTGTGCTGGTATCTTTGAATCTGTGGGGGCTTCATCTGCAGCCCTTTCTGCTGAACAGAGCCATGGTGCTCCCAGCATCGCAGCCCCCCAGGATGTGCAGAGTGTCTGAGGCACATCCCAGCACAGGCAACCTGGAAGCTGGGATTGCTCTGTGGCAAAGCTGGATTGCTCTGAGGCAAGGGGAGCTGGGAAAGTTATTTCTCTGCTTTTGCAGAAAAATCCTTCTCCCCAGAACGGTCGCCCCCGGCTCTGTCCTCAGCCTGTTCGAAGGATGCAGGGACAGAATAGCGAGCCGGTGAGGTCATGGGGAGAGAGTTAGTCACATCCAACTGGGAAAGGGAGAGGGCTGCCAACCAGTGTTGCTCTCACAGTGTGGAAAGCTCATGTGGTTCAGAAGGGACCCCCCCACCCCCCGCCCTCCAGAGCACCCTGGCCAAGCTGGGGGTGTTGATGGAGCACCACCTCTGCAGCAGCTTCCCAAGGAACTGGAGGAAGGAGTGAAAGATTTTAATAAAAATCTAACTTTCTCTGCCATAAACATGGACTTTGCTTTCCATAACTGGGGCGATATGGGCGAGAGGGGGTTAAGAGCCTTTCCAAATTGGAGACTATCTGGAGCTGTCGCACAAGGGAGGGAGATCATGGCAGAGTTTAATGAATGACTTCATTTATATATTAAAAAAAAAAAAAAACAACAACATGGTGGCTTCCTGCCAGGTCCACAGACAAGGGTTTCTATGGGAACCTGAGGAAAAATAATAAATAGGAGTGTGGGATGAGTAGGGAAGGGAGGAGGGGAGCTCAGGCTCGGGTCTGGGTCTGCTTTGTTCCTCATGGAGACCCAGTTGGCAAGGGGCGATGAAGGGGTAAAAAGGGAAAGAGCTGAATTTGGTGCTTGCAGAAGGACCCCACCCAAAATAAGGCAGGCAGTAACTGCTCAGCAGTGGAGCGTTCTCTTGGGCTAGTCCTGGGGTCTGCTTTGTTCCCTGCTGCCCTGTGGGTACAGCAGGCATGGGCAGCCTTTCTTCATGGGCTCACAACCTGGCTTTGCTGCCTTGGGGCAGCTGGGATTTTGGGAGGGCAGTTATGTGGAGTCATCCCCAGCTTCCTGACAGGGTGGTGGTGATGGCACCACTGTGCAAAGGGATGCTACTGGGGCTGAGCTCAACAGTCCTGCTCACACTGCAGAGTAAAATAGGCTGTGAGTGAGTCTTCCCTGGAAAGGGTAACAAGGTTCACAGTGTAATTCGAAAGGCTATGTTTTTCATCAATTAATCCCAATGGGCTTTTTTCCTCCCTCATTGCTGGGATAGGGAGGTATCTGCCCTGAACTTCAGAAGAAAACAGCTCTTTGGTGAGACCCATGGTGAAGTGAGGCTCTCTCACATGCTTCATAGTCCAGACTGAGGGCAAAGCTGGGCAGGCTGGCAGACTGACACTCCTGGGGCCAGCTGAAACCTACCCCTCATTCACTCAAACCATGCTGAAACACGTCTCAACTAAGGCAATTCTGTTTGTTTTTTTCCCCCATTTCCCTTTCCACTGGCTATTTCTTCCAATCTAAATAATGTTGCACTGTATCTCCCATTGTGCAGGTTCATCCTAAGAGGACTGTGGTCCTCAAGGTGTACCTCAGGTGGGGAAGTGCAGATTGGTCTGGGTCCTGCTGCTGGTGGGAGATGGACTTCCCAGCTCCCATGTGTGTGCCTTCCTGAAAGACATTTCTGTAAACAGGCTTGAAAATGCCAGGGGAAACAGATTTTGTGTCTGCTTTGGACCTGGCTGAGCCAGGGGTGAGTGGGGTGAGGAGGCATCTGCACCAGCATCAGCCCTACGTACCACAGTCAGACCTGCCCAGCTCCAGCTGCCATCACAGGCCCTTTGGGTGACTGGAGGCCACCCCATGGCACATCCCTTTCTGCCTGAATCTCACTGCTGCTGCCAGTGGAGCAGGAGCCGATCCTACGTGGGGAGCCACTGGACTGGCGTTATCACCAGAGAAGGAATGTGGCACCTGCCTTATCACTTCCTTGGGGATGCAAGAGGCTGTTCAGCTCACAGAGGCATTATTGTCCAGCAGCTGAGATGTCTGGGAGAAGCCAGGGCAGGTTTTTCTTCTCCGCAGGGTTGATAGGAAGCCAGGCAGGACCTAGGTGCTGCCATTGGCCGCTGTTTCCTTGGCTCCTGGTCAGGCAGGAGCAGCTCAGCTGCCTAAGGAAACTCATCCCCAGGGTACATATCTTGCCCTCTGTGGACCAAAGCTTGAGATGAGGGTGTTGGATATCTTGCAGCACTGCAATACCCTTTACAAACCCTTCAGGCACCTTGCAGCATTGCAGGACCATTTACAAACCCTTCCAAAGCGGGGGTGCAAAGCTGTTTTTGCAGGGAATGGTGCTGTCCAGTGGGCTTCAGCCCACAGGCAGGTGGGAAGAGGGTATGTACCACATCTTCCTTCTAGAGACTTGCAGGCTCTCCTGCACCCCTCTCCCAGTCCCTGTGTCCCACCTTGTCCTTGCCCATCAGTCAGTCCCACTGGAAGCTGTGCTGATGGAGGTGAGGATGCCACTTGGAGCATCACCGCTCATGGTGGGAGCACTCCTCTGCAGAAGGCTCCTGCTTGCTGGGGGGAGCACAGACACCTCAGAGCACTGTTACCGGGTTTCACAGGACTGCCTGATGGCATTAAAGATGGGTTTTCCCTCTGGCTTGGCAGGCTGACAGCACAGTGGAGCGTGGAGGATGAGGAGGAGGCGGCGAGAGAGCGGCGGCGGCGGGAGCGCGAGAAGCAGCTGCGCTCGCAGGCGGAAGAGAGCCTGAATGGCACCGGCCCCTGCTCGGAGAGCGCGGCCCTGGCACAGGAAAACCAGTAAGATACCCAGGGACAAATCCTTCAGCAACAGACGCTTTCCTTCCTGCAAACCCCTCCTGCAGCCACTGAGCGTGTGCCCCCGTTGTTTGGGGTGGTTTGGGGAAGATGGAGAAGTTCTCTGATAGGTTTGGGCTGGGGGATTTAGCACACACTAGCAAATAGAGTTCTTTCTTCTTTGGGCAGGGAACCCCACAAGTCCTGCTTTGATAGTTGTCTTGGCTGGAGGCTGGGGGTTTTACTGCCCTGAGAGTTTACACTGGGACAGCTTGGGTCAGGCTGGGCTCTGGTAGGGAGTCCCCATTGCCTGTGATTTCAGTGCTTGGTTAAATTTCAACTTGGGAGTCATCCTACACTAAAAGTAATGGAGTTTCCTGATACGTGCACAGACAAACATGCCCAAGGAGGTGATGCACAATCCCAGGCAGATCACAGTGCAAGCAATCACCTGTCCTGGATGGGCTTCCCATTCCTTCCTTGGCAGTGGGAACCATGGAGCAGCACCTGAGCTGGTGCAGTTTACAGCTCCAAGGGTTAAAATTAACTTTGTATTTTAATGGGGCAAGTCCTACATGGAAATAGCTCAGAGGGCATTTATGGAGGTGCTGAGATCTCTGCTGTCAGAAAGGAAACACCTGGAGAAGGGATAGGATGACATCCCCAGCATCCCACACCACATCCTACTGCAGCTTCCCCATTTCCATGTTTCAGCAGTCCAGATGCCGTGCAGCACTGGGGCTAGCAGAAAAACTAGTCTGCACTCTGAATTGCCAAATTCTTGTCTCAAAGTACTCAGTCTTACCACTATTTATGTGTTCAACTTGTTTCTAAATCTGTTGAACACAATGGAAAAGTAGTGGCAGGATTTGGAGTTATAGTCACAGAGAAGCAACATCTTAATTTTACTGCAAAAAAAGCAAAAGTTATTTATGAAAACCTTTTATTTTTTCATTAAAAGATTATTTTTGCCAAGATACTTCCAAAATAATTCAGGATTTTTTTTTAATAGCATTGCAAAACACCTTCACAAAGTTTTGTGGAAATACACACAGTGATATTCTGCAGACAGAGCTGCTTCAGTCTGCAAAGAGAAGGTCTGGAAAGTAATAATAGTCATTTCCAAATGCCCCCTTCATGTAGGGGCTAGGAAATAATTTGAAAAGGTATTTAAAATGGCAGATGAGATCTCTGGTCTCTGCTTTGCTGGTTGTTGCAGCCCCAGTGACCCAGCTTGCAGGCTCCAGTCCTGTTGGCATGGGCACAGCCATGCTGCTGGCCCCACAGGACCATTGGCATAGCCCAAATTTAATTGAGTGCTGAAGAGGGCAATGACAAGGACAACTCCTAAAATGAAGGGTTTTGCTCCCTGCTCCGTGATGCCAAAGCCTGCTGGGCCAGGCTCAACCACAAGGATGTTTCTTCTTCTTTGGCCATTCCCTGGTTTTGTTTACAGCTGCTGACAGCCACCTGGGCTTGCTCATGCAGCCAGGGTCAGCCCTGGCTATTAATCTTCTGAAAAGCTTCATTCTCTCCTGTGTAAATCCTGCCCACTCCTTCCTGTGGCTCTTCCCACGCTGGGACTCGTCCTGTCCATGTCACTCCCCTTAGTTCAAACCCACCCTTGCATTTCCTTGCTCCAAAGGGACAGAATGAACCTCCTGTTCTCCCTTATCCCCACTAAAGAAAACCAGAAATAGTCAGGAGGACAGAGGGTTTGCAGGAAAGACAGGATTGTTCTTGGGAGCCAGAGGGATGCACATCAGCTGAAGTGGTGATGATGGGGCTGTGCTGGCTTTGTGCTTCTCCTTGGATTGGGTTTGCAGAGGGACACAGGGAAGCAGTTTTCTGACAGCATTCAGCCAGTCTCCTTTGCTCCCTGGGAGCTTTTCTGTTAGCCTGAGCACACATTTGTGGCCAGGGACACAGATACTGCAATGATTTTCCCATGGCTATCTTCAACAGTACAGCTCACCCAGAGAAGAATAAATGGAATAACTGAAAGGAGAAGGACTGTGTCAGTCTGTGGCTCTTTCAGGCCAGCTTTAGGCCTTTTTGCTTACCCTTCATGCTAATTTTCCTTCTTGCTGTGTTTCAGCTATGACTTCAAGCCATCTGGGACTTCGGAGCTGGAGGAAGATGAGGGGTTCAGTGACTGGTCCCAGAAGCTCGAGCAGCGCAAGCAGAGGTGAGTAGGACACAGATGAGCCAAGGGGAGGGGTACCCATGTCCCCAGCAGAAGGACTGTCCCTGAGGAGTGGTGACCAAGCCCAGGGCAAGTCTAGTATGTGTAAGAAGGAGGCCAGAGTCCAGAGCATCAGCAGAACAGAACAGGCGCACACCACTGGGACAGATGCTCTCTGCCTGCCATTTGGGCTAGCAGGGAATGGCCCAGGGACAGCCCCAAGCTTTGGGGATGTTTGGATTGAGCTTTGTGCTCCAAGCAGTGGCAGCCTGCCAGGACTCCTGGGTTTGGAGGAGTGACAACAGCAGATTTAAGCCACCTGAGCTGCTGCAGGGGCTGAAACGGTCTCTAACATAATCCAGGCCAGCCTAAAAAGCTGTTCTAAGTTACTGCTGCTTCCTGGCTCATGTCAGCATAGTGGGTGTTATGGCCCCAGCCCACCTTGTGCCTGACTCCTCTCTGAGGAGGGAAAAACAGGCAGCAAAGAGCCCTGAGAGCCCTCCCATCACTCCTCCCTTACAGAACTAAACCAAACTCCTGCCTTAACCATTTCCCTTGGATACTGTCTACCTGCACATGAACTCTGTGACTCAGCTCTCTTGGCAACTTGATTTTGTAGGGAATTTTTGACGTAGCCTCTTCTTTACAATGAAGAATTCTTTGCACAGAGAGGTGGTAGATGTCCCTTCCCTGGAAACATTCAAGGTCAGGTTGGATAGGGCTCTGAGAAACCTGATCTGATTGAAAAGGTTCCTGCTTATTTCAGAGAGATTGGACTAGATGACCTTTAAAAGTTCTTTCCAACCCAAACTATTCTGTGACTGAAAAAATGCTTAAGATTAATATTTACTGCTGAATAAATAAAAATGAGCTCAAAGTTTTATTACTTTTCTCCAAATGTTGTGGCTAAACCATGTTGCAAGCTGTACCTTTGCAGCCCTGACCCCACAAACTCTTCTCAAGCACCTCCAAGGCACAGCACAATGTAATTATAACACCTGTGGGAGCAATTAGAAATCATCTGCTTTTTGGTTTGCTGCCTCTTTTTCCAGCCCCCCTTGCAAAGAGCTTTTCTGGAAAGAAAGACCACTGCTTTTCCCTCTTGGCCTTTAAAAGAGAATTAGTTGGAATTAACACTATCCTCCCCAGGTCTTTCTAGTTGGGTTTTTATGTGATGCTTGTGTTTCTCCTGTAGTGGGAAGGGAGGGTGGTGTTCATGACAGGTGAAGCCCATCAGTGAGAGGTGGTACTTTAAAAGCAGGAGCAGGAGGTGGAGGCTGTTTGGCTAAGGGCTGGTTGGGAGAGGCACCTGAAGGAGTTCAGACTCTGTGGGCTTGCTGGGGGCAGGCTTTTTGTAAAGGCTGGGCTTGTCCTCACAGCAGGGGCTGTGCCCTGTAAGGTCCTTGCAGCAGCTCCTGGGACCTGCCTCATCCAAAGGGCGAGCTTGGAGGGTGCTGTGAGCACAGGTAGGTTGTGTGTCTGCCTGTGGTGCCCCGTGCTGGGATGAGCAGTGCTGTGGTCAGGCTTTCCCAACTCCTTCACTCCTGTTTAACTGAAGATGGAGCAAATCCTGGGGTTTAAGTGGTGAATGAGTGGATGGAGATAGCTGCTCTCTGCTGGATGGAGCTAAACCAGGTCCTGCATCCTGAGAGCCTTGGTGCTAAGGCATGTTTTCTCTTTGGTCCTGGTTCTTCTCTTTGAGGTGGGAGATCCATGCTATTAGCTGTGTGTAAGAAGGTGAAGCTGTGCCAGCCTAGCTGCCTCCCATACAGCATTGCTGTGGTGTGAAAGGCATCCTATGGGCTGCACTCTGTTTGCTGGCTTTAATTTTTAATATGAGCTTGTACCTGAGCTGGAGATATTGCTGGCATCCTGGTGGAGAGCTGCTAGCTTCCTGGGCCTTCAGAGCATGTTTGCTCTTCGTGAGAGGATGATGAGAAACAAGTCAAGTGAGCCAGCATATGCATCATCTTTTTCCCCATGTCGTCAATGTGGAGGGCTGGATGGGGGCTGACCTGTGAGCTGCCTTCCCAGCAGCAGAGAGGTGGGTGGAAAGGTCTTGTTGGAACTTGTTTTTGTGTTTTGGTGCTGCCTGTTGAGGGAGGAGCAGTGAGTCAGCCTTGCCCTTTGGCAGCTGCCTGCTAGCCAGCTCTCTAGCCCTGCTCTCTCAAGCCAGGCGATTTTCTAAGAACTGGGTGGAAGGAGAAAGCTCTTTTGGCTGGGGAAAGAAAGATGGCAATAACAGCTTGGTGTGTGGCTGTGAGCCAGTCAGAGTTCTGGGGTTATGTACTCCTGTGTCCCTGTGCCCAAAGGCATGGGCTGCTCTGCTCTTGCAAAGCTGATGGCATAAACATACTCTTGGATTGCCTCTTTCAGCCTTGGAGACCTGGAGCAATTCTCTTGGACCAAACCCACTGTGGTTTTTAAACCCCTAAGCCAGGGGTGACCCCATTTGCTTTGGAGCTCCTTTGTTTTGCTGGGATATGAGATGAGTGATGTGAGTGGAGGTGTAATTCTTTCCAGTGGCAGAACTGAGGCTTGGGACCAAGTGTCAATGCAGCATTGCTTGTGACGCGCTGTGCTTTGCCCATGGAATGATTCTAGGAAAGTGGCTCTGCAGCCTTTCCCTAGAGCTCAGCTTCAGCTTGAGAAGCATGCTCATGTGCTGCTGGTTGGGCTCTCCTGCAGCAAGAGACTCTGTTAATGTGGAAGATGAGTTTAAGCAGAGAAGGGCTGTTTGGTGCCCCACGTTGAATTAATGCTGGGAGCCATGGGGGCAGCATCAGATTTGTGTTTGAACTATCTTTGCAGGGTGTGCTGGTGCACCTGGAATTTTAGCTGTAGCTAGGCAAGGAATTGAGCCAGCACTGCATCAAACCCCTGCCAGAGGTTTGAGCAGAAGGCTCTTCTCTGCTTTCCTATGGGTTTTGCCCATCATGATGCTGGTAATGTGCAGATCCCTTCAGCTCTGCCACAGCTCTTAGTTGAGCTGAGCCTTGGACACTTGCAGTGGGGGGGGAGTGAGATGTGACTGCTGTTACATCTGGGTGCCTGGAACTGGCTGTGAGCCCTGGTGTGGAATACCCAGCACGCTGTAGGCTTGGGGAAGTGGTAAATTTGGATTTCTAGAGATGTGAGGTACATCATGGTATCTGTAGGCTCATAACTGTGCTCTTATTCTTTGATCTCTCCCCCATCTCTAGGTCTCCAAGGCAGTCCTATGAAGAAGAGGACAGTGGTGTGAGAGAAGCTGAAGTCAAACTGGAGCAGATCCAGCTGGATCAGGAAAGCCCGGAGGAGAATATGGTTATCAGAGAGGAAGAGAGGCTGTACCAGGAGGAACAAGAGGCTCAAGAACGTGAGGAAGAGGAACAAGCTGAGCAAGAGGTGGGATCAGGAGGAGCTGACCCTCTTTCCAGAGAACTGATGGGAGAGCTGATGCTAGGGGCTGCTCTGCCATGTCCTGGCTCACCACTGCTGCTGGAAGCTGAGCCCATGCAGACATTAGCTATTCTTTCATGGCATAACCTGGGCTGGTGCCACTTTTGCCTGTGTGCTGTGCCTTCTTGTGATCACTGCAGGCAGCCCTGCCATTTTGTGAGGGGGATGTGCTTGCTCCCAGAGTTTGTAGTGGCTTTGCCATGTCCCTGTCATGCTGAGAAGAAAGTGTTATTTCTCCTGTGGCTTTGTGGGCAGTGAGTAGCTTTACAGGAGAACTGAAATCTAAATTATACTGCATGTTTTTCTCTCCCCAGCCTTTATCACACCTTTGGAGTACTTTGTCTTGATAGATCTCTTAGCCTTGCATTGCCCTCAGCTGAGTGGGTTTTTTTATTGTTCTGATAATTCCTGATTAAGGGGAGGGGGGGGAGAGAGAGAGAGACAAAGCTGGAATTCAAGTGGTGTGCAAGTCAGGGGGCTGAGCTTCAAATATCATTTGTTATAAATGGATTTTGACTGTCTGGGGCTAGTAAGATTTTTGAATTTGAACTGTGTGTTACCCTTTATTCTAAAGGCAGCTTCTCTCTCTCCTTTCGGCCTCTAAATGAGAAATTAATGTTTTCCTATCTCAGTTGTGGTAAGCAATCTTTATAACTGATGCAAGAACCCCTTTTCATACCATTTGGGAATCCTGAACCTGCAAAATTTCTGATTTCTGCCCTCCCTTCCAAATGACATATGAGCTTCTTCCTGAATCTTTCCAAATTAGATAATGTTAATGCAAAGTTTCTGTGCTTTTGTGTTTATTTAGTGTAAAGCAGGAAGCCTGGGAGACGGGAAAAATCACTTTTGTTGCATAATAAGCAGTTTGACCAACTCACTTCCTGGCTTGTTCTTTTTTCTGCACTCAGGAAAAGAAGAGAAGACGAAATGATGGAGAGAAGGAAGGAGAAACACCAGAGAAACGCCAGAAGGCCCCAAGCCTTGGCAGCCTGGAAGAGGAGGAGCTGTGCTCTGACCACACTGCAGTGTGCTCCACAAAGGTCTGTGCTCCCGGGGCCCCGCTGGATGCGTGGCAGCTGTCACAACAGAGGACCCAGCTGATGATGGGGAAGGATTGCCCAGGGCTTGCAGCAATGAGGGGTGTGAGACCCGTTATCTGTCCTGCTACGAGTGAGGCAAACCACCTGAGCAATTTGCCTCGTCTTTCATGGCTGTCATCCTCTCCTCCTACTTGGCCTGCTTGAGCTGACAGGGGCTGTAGCAGTCACTCTAAAAGTCTAAAGTTCATTGAGAGCACCAGGGAATATTGTGATACTGAGATACCTGTGCTTTCAACTTGTGTAGTCTTTAGTAAAATTCTCAAGAACTTAATGAAATTTCCCTTCCAAAGGGGGAAAAAAACACCAATAACTGAAACAGTGGCATTTCCCTCTTAATTAGAATAAAGTGTGTGACTGAGGTTGTTTCAACAAATGAGGATTTCTGATCTCTGAAGCATTGTGTCCTTCCCAATCACATCGGTTTTACATTGATGTTCTTGTTAAACTCCCATTACTAACACCACCTGAATTGCATCTTATGACTTGCATTGCATTTACTACAAATCCTCGGTTCTGTGTGTGTGCTTTTGAATACAATAGATACAGATAAGTGTTTCTGTACTGAGTGGTTTTTTTGTCTTTGTAAGCCCCAACCTTTTTGATTGTAGCAGTGAGAGATAGTGAGGAGTCTGTGCAGCCTGTTAATCTGCTATTAGAACTACCTTTGCTTTTTTTTTTTTTTTTTGAGTCTAGTTTTGTGCTATTTGTGGCTTACTCAATAGTTCTTGAGTGGGAATGATTGTATGAGTACTTTCTTTTGCATCAGTAAATAGATGGCAAGAGGAAGGTTTCATCATTTACAGCTATCTGATTTTGCTTTTAGTGGAGAATCCATTTTATAGTCAAAAGAGGGGGGGACAGAGCGGGTGTGGATGCAGGCTGGGTGCTAATGCCAGGTTTGAAAAGTGGAGGGGATAGCCAAAGCATATTCCTGAAGTGGGACTGGTGGGGAAATGTGGAAAATGCTTTCAGGAACTTTAATGTGCTGCACCTTCTGTCTTTACAACCCCAAAACACACATAGCTTCTCGACCTCAGCTGAACTGCTGCTGCTGGGATGAGCCCAGGGAAAGGTTTAGAAATACAGCCCCTCTATTTTGTAGTGGTGATGTCAGAGCTCACCCCACACACTAAGCTAGACGCAAAACTGCTCAGGAAAAATCTGAGCTTGGAATCTTTCCAAAGGAAGGATGATCTTTACACCCCAGCTAGCAGGGCTCTGTGACCACTGAGAACTAATAAGCACATTGGCCACCAAGAAGGTGTTTTGGCTCAGGAAGCTCAGCAGAAGCCCTGCTTGTAGTGGAAGGCAAAAGCCTCTGCAGTCAGTGCTGTGTTCCCTGTCAGACGTGGCTGGTGGAGGCTGGGTGTACACCTGGGGCAGGCTGATGTTGGGTTGTAGGGTGGTGGGTGTTTGGAGTGCAGAGGGGCCAGTGTGGCCTCAGGGCTGAAATAGGGGGGCGAGTTTTGTACCAGTCCTGTTTTGTCACAGGCTGCTTGTGAGCCCTGAGTTTTGAGGCTGGCTAAATGAGCAACTGTGGTTTCTTCTGGCCTTCAGAAAGTGCTTGGGACCAGGGAAATGCACAATTCTCACTGCAAGGAAATGCCAGGGATGGGGGGAGGTGGTCTCCAAATAGCACAGTGAAAGTTTGATCCTACCTACACTGTCACACTGAGGTACATTGTCATTTACAGCTTTTTCTAGGCCCCTCTGTGTTTAACCTGATACTTGCTGATAACCTTTCAGAAATGCCTGTATATGGTTTGCACCTGCACACCATCTCCCTGGCAGGGTTGGCAAGGCTTTTTCCTAGTGACATCTGCTGGTGTTTGGGAAACTGAGGCAAAGATCTATGAGATTGCCCTTTCAGGTTGGTGCTGTGCCCTGTCAGGTACCAGCCTGCCCTTCAGTGAGCAAGGTGAAGTCTCTGAAGTCATGGCAGAGGCAAGCAGCAGCTCCTGCAGCAGCAAGCAAAGGAGTGAGCTGACAGCAGGCAGAGAGCCTGCCCTGCAGACAGAGCTGGCTGATGGGCTTCTGTCCTGCTGCTGTGGGGGGACCCTGCAGAGTGACTCTCCCCAGGTCATCTCTATTAGCCAGGGTTGCACTGTTTGCTTGTTCTCTAATGGGCCTTGTGCTCCTGGGCACAGCTGGTAAATGTGTCCTCTATATGACACTGTCTTCTGTTTAGCTAAAATTTAGCACCAGCATCCTGAAAGCATCTTAAAGGATCATTTAGTGGTGTTTTTTATCTGCTGACTTGGTAGGTGATGCTTCCTGTGGCACAGGCAGCAGTTTTACAGGGGGAGAAGGCTCCTTTTTGCTTGGTTGCTGCTCCTTGACTCTGTGGGAACTGGTGTTAAGAAAGCCCCCTCTTTGGCTTCGAGGTGATTTTTTTCTCTGTATGCTTGTTTTCTGGGCCATGAAAGAGTCACAAGGTTTAGTAACATTTGAGCTTTCCTTTCCTGCAGTGGTTGTGAAGTGTTTGCTTGCCTTCCTGTCTTGGCCAAGGAGTTATTTCACAGGAGCCTCTTGTGCAAAACTTTTTCCTGATGGCTTGGCATGAAGAGGTGGCTCCATGGGCTGATTTGCCCTGTCTGTGTGCTTCTCTGGTGTGGATAATTTGACATAATGCATGCCTGTGCTGCTCCCATGCTTGGCTTTTCTTCTGCAAGATGTGGCCTCTAGTTTTCCCCCTTGTCTTTCTGTGCTTGCCATTTCCCTTTTTGTGTCTGGCTAGGAAAACAAAGGTCTGAGAACTCCTTCACCAGAGGCAGTAGAAAAAATAGTCTTGTTTGGTGTTTCAGCTGTCAGTCAATCTACACATGGTTGCTTTGCCTCTGAAATTGGTTGGGATGCTCTTCCCCTGCTTGGAAAGAAGGAGGAAAGGGCATGCTCACTGTCTCTCTGATCTGTAGGGGAACATGGGGGCTGAGTGAGTAATTTCTAACCAAAATATGGGTGAGAGATGAGGGCCAAGAAATGGTCAGCTAAGGTGACCTGCATCCATCTGAGGTCCCTGGACAAAAGCAGTATCTGTCTTCTTCCTCCCCTTTAGATCACGGACAGAACTGAGTCGCTGAACCGCTCAATACAGAAAAGGTATTTCTGGGGTTGGCCTCAGGGCAAAGCAGGTCCTGCAAAGGGAGGTGGTCAGCAGGTCCTGCTGTGGGGAGGGGCAGGAGTGACAGGCTGCCTATGGCTCAGAGTCCTCCCTTCTGGCTGAGGCACTGGGGGAGCCTTAATCCTCCTCTCTGTTCTGCAGCAACAGCATAAAGAAGAGTCAGCCTCCTCTCCCTGTGTCGAAGATTGATGACAGGCTGGAGCAGTACACACAGGCTATTGAGGTGGGTTGCTGTGCTGTCTCTGCCCTCACCTTCCCAGGAACCCTCTTTGCTGGTGTTGCTCCCCCACCATGCCTCCCAGCCTTACCATCTGTGAGGTGACAGCTGAATTGTCCTCCCTTGGATGTGAGCACTCCTTGCTCCTGTCTGTATGTCCCTCCACAGCATAAAGTAGGTTTCTTTAGCAAGCTGTCCTGTGCTTGTTTTTTTCATGTTCTCTGCTTAAAGAGTGGGCGTATCTGACAGGAACTAGTAGGGCTTTACAGGTCTCCTTTTACACCCCCTTATCTCAAAGGACCTTCTGGGGTTAAACATAATCAAGAGGCACACTCTGATGGCAGACTGTCTCCATTTATTTTCCAGACCTCTACAAAGGCTTCAAAATCTGTCCGGCAGCCCTCTCTTGACCTTCCCACCACGAGCATGATGGTAGCCAGCACAAAAAGCCTCTGGGAGACTGGGGAAGTCACAGCTCAATCTGCAGTGAAGCCCTCAGCCTGTAAGGTACAGCCCTTGGAGGACTTGCCTTGCTTGTGCCAGAGGCAGGGACTGGTCCCTGGGCACAACGTGCGTTGTCCTTGTTCATCCTGTTGATACATCTTGTTTGTGGGGCCTAAAAGCTCCAAAGGCTTCGATATTAGAGGTCTTCCATCCTGTTTGTAAGGCTTTGCACCTTGGAGATTCAATTTTTCTGACAAGATCCCCAATTGTTCCTTGGTGGTACATGCAGGAAAACCTCTGTGTTGCTGGTTGAAGCTCTGATTTGAAATGGGAATAAAATCAGCTGGTGGGGAGAATGTGTGTGTTTCCTACAGGGGCTAGGGCTGAGCTCCTGTTGTCAAGCATGAAGTTGCATCTAGTACTAAGGTGATAAATCTTATAAACTTGGAAAATGCAGAGAGTATTTTGTATTGCTCTCAGTGATTTCACTTTCTGGCTGTTGTGGGTGAGGCTGGTTCTGCAATATGTTGGCTGCAAGTCTGTTTATGAGAGCAGAATTCCTTTGGGTAGAGAAGCCTTGATGTTTACATGTCCTAAATAGTTAATGAACTTGAGAAAATAAACATCTTGGAGCTAATTCAGACTCTTGTGGAAGAGTGATAGGAAAACATAGGATTTACTGGGAACAGGAAGACATTTTCACAGTCATGGGTTTTAGCAGCAGCTGTTGTAGGTCAGATGTGATATTATAAATAAAAAACGGAGGTCAGATGTGTGGGTTGGAAATGGATGTGAACAAAGATGTGTTCAGCAGCATGAGCAGTGAAGGGTAATGAAATCATAATTTTCTCAGGATATCGTGGCTGGAGACATCGTCAGTAAAAGAAGCCTTTGGGAACAGAAGGGGAATCCCAAACCTGAGAGCAGTATCAAGGTGAGTTGGTGTCTGTGAGTATGAGAGCACTTGAGCTGCTGACAAAGAACAGAGCTGTGTTGGAAGTATTGAGAAGACAATGTTCTGTAGGGACAAGGGCTGCCTGTATCTGTCAATGCAATTGGATGCTTAGGAGCTCTTCCTGACAGTGAATTGCTATTGGCTCAGCTCTAGTGAAAATGGGGGCAAAAATACTTTTATATCCACTAATTCTGAAAGGTCTCTTGAATAACATGTTGTTCTCAGCCCATGTGCTGGGAGTTCCAGCCATCTAGGCTCAGATGGAACTGCAAATTTGAGCAATTTTATTCTTGTTATGCTTTTTGGCACTGAGAGTAAACAAAACGTGCAAAACTAAGCGGAACTGAACCTAAGACTGTATCGCTTGCAGATGGATCTGGGGTTTTGTGGGAATGTTTGTGGAAATGTCTTCTAAAATGCAGCAAGTAGCTACTGCTTAAACTGTCTAGGCTGGGAGAGGAAGATGAAAGTATCTTGTCAGTTCCTGTGTTGAAACTGCCAGTACCTGGTAAATCCCACAGTCTTGCCATGGATAAAAACAACCCTGGCTTGGGGGTCTGGGCTCTTAGATGAGCCCTCCCTCACAATGCCTGCATAGCATCCACTTTCCTATTGCATATCCTGGTTTTTGGTGTTACCTTTTGCTTATAGAAGGTGATGATGGATCTGTGCAGAGAGTTTGTGTGAAGGGGGCAAGAAGGCAGTACAGAATGGGCTGTCTCCAAGGCAACTGTATCATGTGCTCCTCTAGCTTCAGTTACTTGATTTTTGACTGCCTATTTAACAAAGAAAAATGCTGACTTTGGCTCTTCCTTTCTCTCCTGTTCAGTCCACTCCTTCTGGCAAAAAGTATAAATTTGTTGCAACAGGCCACGGCCAGTACAAGAAGGTGTTGATAGACGATGCTGCAGAGCAATAGTGTGTCTGGAGGACTCATTAACCAGGTAGGTGGGACGTGGCTCTGCTCTGTTCTGGCAGCACGCTGGGGTTGTCTCTGCCAGCAGCACTTTGGGCGAGTTGGAAGGTGCTGTATGGGAGCAGCTGGAGCCTGGCTTTGGGCCTCTGTCTGGCTGGAGCACAGTGGGTACACAGCAGGGGTTTGTTTTGGTCTCTGCCTTTCTGATGCTGCTGGATACCTCTGCTAGTGTAATCTGCAGGGCAAGTCCCTTAGCTGCTGCTGTTTGGGTGAAGATGTGTTTGCCTTTGCTAGTTCAAAGGAATGGTCTCTCTGCTGTCTTTCCTTATGCTCTCTTAAGTTGCAAGGAATAGAGAGAGATAGCTGGAGGTTGTTCTGGCTGAGCAATAGGGGCTGATGTACTTCTGAAATTCAAATGTTTCTGGGGTTTAATTCCCAGATTTACTGAATTAATCATCTTTTAAGATGATTAACTTTTAAGGACTTTGGTAACCTCTTGGAACCAGTCTATAATAAAGTTGTAGCAGGAAGGATGTGAACATCTGTTATACTGGGTAGACCAGCAGAGCAGAAAGGACTGTTCTCTGTGCAGCAAGGGGAAGGTAGAGCTGGGTTGCTGTCTCTGTGCTCTCTTAAAACAGCCTTTGGATCTCATGTTCCTATTGTGTTTAGGCTCATAGATATCCTGGTGTTATCTTGAGTGGATGATAGTAGAGGGTTGTGGCAATAAGGAGGAATGGTGTAGAGGGAGATGATAACTGGTTGGATCCAACTGGGCAGCATCTGGCACAATGAGTGGAGAGGAAGTTGAGGGTGAAAACAAGCTCATTCTCTCTGTTTTTTCTACTATAAAAAAGAAGCTTTATTTCACTGCCAAGGTTAAAATAGCTCTGCCTGCTACAAAACACCTTTTGTTTCTGAATTCTTCTGAGGCTTGTGTTCCTTCTTTCCCCTCCCTCCCACCCTTAAGGAGCTGGCTTCTGAGTGTTGCATAATGTTTTGTTTATTTAGGCTTGTTTTTTTCCTTTTTAGTGCCCATTTAGAGGAAATGCCCATTTGAATGCTACTTTGAGATGGGTAGCAGTACAAGCCCAAGACTGCCTGAAGCTGTGGTTTTAGTGCACAGAACTTCCATCCTCAACTTGCTTCTCTGCCTGTGACTTAGAGAAACCTATTATAAGGTCTCCCCTTTGATCAGTCTCCTCTTTTCTCCTAAAGGTCTGTTTCAGTGCACCAGGTGGGAAGCTACTGAGCTTCAGTTCTCTGCAGCAGACAGGTTTTGCTAGGTTGTCAGCAGGTTTTGTTTGCCCTCCCTGAGCTTCTCTGAGCAGCTCAAATGGAAGTGCCTTTGCCTCTGGTCTTTGTCCAGCAGCCTTTCTTGAAAGGCAAGGCACTGTCACAGGATGTAATCTAGGATCCACCCAGTGCTCCTAACAACCATGGCACAACACTGTTGCTCCCTGGGTTTGTTCACATGGAAGTATTGGGGTTTTTTCTACTGTGAATAGCAAAATGGCTGTGATAGCTGAAGGAGCTTGGCTTGTTTCTGTTCTTAGCTGTTTTGTGTGCTCTGCTGCTCCCCAGCTCCTCTGCATCCCCTTGAACTATATTCATCCTTTTTCCCTACTGCTGGATCATTGTCATGGCCTTCTTGCTCCCAAACCTTCTGTCTCACTCATGTCACTTGCTTTATACCACCTTAGCAGCTTTCTAGTTGCTTAAAACACAGGTGTGGGTTTTTCCTCCTTCTCTCCCTTCCTGGGCTGCAGGACCTCACTGCAGGCTGTGGAACAAGGCTTTTTCTGTAAGTGTCAGTATGGGCACATAGCAACTGCCTGATGCTGTTTGGCATTGAAAAATAGGCAAATCCTGTGCCCAGTAGCATTCCCCTTCTCTTCCTCAGCACAGCAGCTCAGGCTGGAACACACCACAATGACTTCCAGTGAGCAGCCATTGATAAAATATGTTGTCTACACGGACATGCCCTCCCATCTGTGTCAGGGTCTGTCTCTCTGCAGGACTTGCCATACTTGCTATGGGCCTCTTACCCCCTTTGATTTTGGGGTAAAAGGGCTGAACCATGCACCCAGACCCACCTTCCTCTCTTGCCTTCCTTCTGCTTGTGGGAATTGCTCTCTCAGTGGTATTTCCCCATCCTTCATCCATGTACAGTGGGGGCTGGGGTGGGAATGCAGCCTGAGTGGAAGCCTAGCAGATGGAAAACCTAAGCCTTAGGTGAGTGGTGCTGGATTCCTCTGGGTGGCTGTCCTTGGTGCAGGACAAAAGCTGTTTTAAAGCACAAGTGCTTCTTAAGCCATCTTCACTCCCAATTGATGTTGGCTGCTCTGCTTCACGCCAGTGCTGTGGCTCTTGTGCACACAGACCTTTGTGCAGAGGCATCCATCTGGCTGTGCTGCACTAAGGTGCCATTTATCACTCTCTGGTAAGGTTGCCCTTTATCTGCTTTGCGTGTTTTACGCTGCACTCTTTAAATTTTTATGGCTGTGTTGCTGCGTGGGTGTTTCTCTGTAGCCTTCTCTTGCAGCAATGCTAAATAATCCTGCAGAGACTTACCTAGGATTCACTTGTGATTACTGGCACATTTCCAACCTCTTTTTACCTTTTTCTTTGAAAACTGGGGGTTTGAAGAAATCCCCACTTTAGATAATTGGGTTATTCTTCCTTCTTTTTTGCCCTTTGAGTAGGGAAGGGGTTACAGAATGGAGATAAGACTGGCAAAGTGAAAACTTAAGTGAAGGTTTGCTAAATGAACTGCTCTGTAGCATCACTGCAAAATAGGAAGACTTCAAAAAAGGCAAAAGGAATTCTTTGTTCCTGTTTCCAGTTTGGCCTGAGGAGATGTTGGTCAGTTCCGTATCCTCTGCACGTGTAAAAGGAAACTCTCTACACAGCTCTTTATATTCTACTTGGGCTAAACATAGCAATCCTATATTAGCTGTGCAGGAACACCCCAGCATATGACCAAGCCCCTTGTGAAACAGAAATAACCAACCTCCAAGCTTTTATGATCACAAGCCTGCTGGCAGTGGAGTTGTAAGGGGTGATACTGGAAAACACAGTTGTCTCTGTGGGTGGGCAGAGTTTTCCTTTAAATATCCTTTTTTCAGGATGTCAAAGACAAGAGGGTGTACAACTGTCATGATGCTTGCCCTGAAAATGAGATTACATGTGGTTAGCAGAACTCCTCAGAAGCCAGCACCTTGTTAAATAGAGAATTGGATACACACATGCTAAAGCAGGGTCTTGTTGGTTATCATGGAAATATTAACCATCAGGTGTTGTGGAGAAAACATGGTAAAATACATAACAGAACTCGAATACAGAAACAAAATTATGCTTCTCTGCACTATTTAGTAGACTGGCCTAGGAGGGTGTCAGATGATGCCTGTTTTGATAGGCAGAGGAACTGCTTGGTGAGAGCAGGGATATCTTACTCTGTCTCTTATCTGTGCCTTTTTGTTCTCAGCAAATGGGCATGGGGCACACTTTCAGTAGAGGAGATGGAGGTTATATGTAGCCTCTTTGAGTTTGGTTTCTGAGACTCTCCCTAGAGATGTGGAGCAACCCAGATTCCTTCATTTCAGATGCAACTGCTGTTGTTCCTAGGATCAATCTCTTACATAAATGCAACAACAAAAAAAAAAAAATCAGATACCGTTATCCTACTCTTTTTATCCTGTTTTTTTTTTTCTGTAGGCAGCTTGTCCTCTTCACTGTGTGCCTTCACTCTGTTACTGCCTCCAGTGATTGTTGTTGACTCTTTTTAAAACAAACACGTTTGTTTTCCTGTGATCTGTGGATGTGGTAGTTATGCATTTGAGCTTCTAAGTGTATGGAGAGTAACCCTTAAACCTGCAGCAAGGGGCTGCTGGCTTGGAGGGGTTTTGTTTAATTTCCTTTTTTCCTTACTCTTGGCTCCACTGGGCAGTAAGCTTGGTCAGAGGTTGCTGCACCTCCAGAGGCGTGAGGCAGCCTGGCTTCAGTGGACCGACCATCCTGATGCCGTTCTGTTAAAGCTCTTGGTGTGCTCCTCGGCCCCTTTGGGCCGAAAGCGGCTCACCTCAAACACGGTGCTGATCTTCGTCATGGGCTTGGCAGCCAGTTCCTTCAGCTTCCGGGCGTCAAAACGTGGCTTGTGTAGAAGGATGGGTAAACGACGGGGAAGAAAGAAGCTTTCTTCCTTCTGTGGCTTCTTTTCCTCTGCCTGCTGCTTCTTCTCCTTGCTGAGTGTCACCTGGTATAAAATGGCATCCCACATTCTCATGGCTTTCGATTTAACCAGCACGCAGTCTTCCTTGATGACTGCTTGAGCAGTGTCCTCTTTATTCCCTTCCTCCTGTCCCAGCTTTTCTGGCCTGGACTCTGGGAAGTTGGTTTCTTCTGGCTGCATTATCAAGTGCTTCCTGAGGCGATGCCAGCCACTGGCACCAGTTCCAGGAGGTCTTGGTGCTTCTCCTGATGATGGTGCTGGCTCAGCCTTGCAGGGACAGCTGGAGTTGGGTAAGCTGGGAGTCATTGGGGGTTCAGTGACTTGTTCTGCCTTGGTGTCTGTGGAGGTGGACCCGGGACCATCAGCTTGTGCTGGAGTTGCTGTCGCTGGGCGTGCTTGCCTCCAGGGCGTGCTGGATGTTGATGGTTCTAGGATGTCTCTGTCTTGCTCTGGTAATTCAGGAGATGTCTTGGATCTGGGTATTTCAGTGTCACTTCTGTGGGTTGTAGGCTTATTGGTGTGGGCATCAGAGGTGCTAGGCTTCTCAGTAGAAACAGGCTTGGGAGCTTGATCAGGAGGCTCTGTCTCTGAAGCATGAATGAGGGGAGGTTTTGGCAAAGGGGGAGCGGCCTTGCTGTCTTTAAGTGATGTGGGTGTCTGCTCTGGGGATGGTTCAGAGCTGCTTGTTTGAGGTGCTGGGGAAGTAGGCCTTTTGTCTTCTTGGCTGACAGTTCCTTGGGTTGGGTTTGGTGTGGGAGTCTTAGCCCTGGGTGGCTTGACACTGTGGAAATAAGTGTTCACCTTGGTGACATAGGTAACCTCTGGTGCCCTTTCTTTGCTGGGTGTAGTGGAAGGAGGAGGCTGAGGGAGAACAGATACTGAGGGGTCAGATGGAGAGGGAAGGTGGGAGCCCATGCCTTCAGGCTGCTGTGGAGTCTCGGGAGCTTCTGGCTTCTGTAGCAGGGGCATGGCCGAGGAGGCTGTGAGCTTGACGTGTTCAGCAATGCGCCGCTGCTCGGTGACCTTCAGCGCGAAGGGCTTCCCCCTTCGGAAAGGGGAGGCGGCGCGGTGGCCGACGGGCCGGATGGAGAGCTGGGTTGGCAGGGGGGCACAGGCGGGTGCTGTGCTCTCGGGGGTCTCCTGGGCTGGGGCAGTGCTCTCAGCACGCTCTTGGTCGGGGCTGGCTTCGTTCACAGGCGAGAGGCTGGAGCGGAAGGACTTGCCCTGCTCTGAGGCCAGGATGGCGTTCTTGCGCGCTGCCTTCTTCAGCAGCCGCTGCAGCCGCAGGTTGTCCTTCCCGGGCTTTGGGAGGGTGGGAGGGGGGGAGAGGGGGTGGTGATTGGGAACAGGCTGGGTGGAGGATGATACTGTTATCAGCATTGTCATTTCCTGCAAGAAAAGACCAAGTTTAGAGTTGGTGTGGGCTTAGCCCTGGGCTGGATTCTGAAATATTAATACACAAATCCTCCTCTTCCTCTCTGTAAAAGCTATCAGTATGGAGTCTGTATTATGGGAGAAGAGCATCAGTCTTTGTTTTGTTACTCTCCTGAGGTAACCTCAGCCAGTCTTGAGGGTGGGTGTGGCAGGACAAGAGATGTCCTGGGGGGAAGCTGTATTGCCAAACCTGGAGCCCTTCTGCTCCTGGGGACCCCAGATGTTCGTGTCTTGGCAAGTCCTAATGGGATTTGGAAGGAAATGTCAAGGGAAAAAAAAGTGGGTTGAAATTTTGAAGCTTTGAAACATCTCCAGAGGCAAAAAGCAGGAATGTTTCATGGCTTTCCAAATTCAAGTTATTAAAAGTCTGATACAATGTTACATACAACAGAACAGCCATAAACTACATGTGTCATTTGAATCATAGTCAGTGCTGGCCTTGATTCATTTCAGCTGGCATGAAGACACCCCTGTGAAATACAGGGCTTCTCAGAAGCTCTGTTTATCAGTGAGGAAGTGCTTTGTCACAGCACTGACTCTGGCTGGTTTTTTCTTGCTGCATGAAGCACAGGGGACAACATTTTCCTTCAAGATAAAACCAAGTTTTCTCTTTCCCTTGGGAAGCTTTGCCCCTGTCTTGCCTTTGTCACTCATTCTTGAATGAAGCAGAAATGGCTTGTGCTCTGTGTCAGCTCTGATCTCCAATGGCAATTGCAGCCCTTTGGCCAATGCTGGGCTGCTCCTGCAGGGATGCATGGCTGCTTTTCCCGCTCATTATTGCAAACTCATCCCTGCCTCCTTTTTGGTGAGTTCTGGTCAGTGGAGCTCAGTGACCACTGGTCAGATGAGCAGAATGGAGCTAAGGGTTTGTGTTGGGGATGCAAAGATAAAACTCAGTTTCTCAGTTCTCAGTCTCAGTTCTCTTTCTCTTCCTGAGCAAGCTGGGGAGCACCAAACAGCCTCTGACCTGCAACGACTCTTTGGCAGCCCCAGGAAGGAAATCTGACTATCCTGGCTTGTGGTCAGCACAGAGTTGCTGAGTTTTGCCATGAAATGAGGCATAAATCACTGAGCCCCTTAATCCCTGGTGCTGGGTGCAAATGAGCATCCTGAAACAAGGAAGAAGGAGGGCGGGTGATGTCAGGCTTGCCTGGGGGGCTATTTATTTCATGTGCTGTGTTCTGCTCCTGGTGGCTCCCAGCCTGCTCTGGTTAGTGTGGGTGTGTAATGTGATACCTGCTGTGCAGGAAAACTATCCTGAGTAGAACTCTGGAAAGTGCTTGAACATCTATTTGTGCTTGAGTGCCCAGTGCTGGCTTTGGGCTTGCAGTGCTGCTGTCAGCACTGGGCTGGGAAGGTGATCCATGCCCAGCAAGCAGGTGGTGTGTCTGCCAAAACTGGTTGGGCATGGGGGGAGAAGGATGACTTTTTTTTTAAAGGCAGCAGCAGCAAATAACAGCACTGAAGAGGTGGCATGTTGAGCTCAAAAGCTTCAAGGTCAAGCCCTCACTGTCGTGGATGAGCTGCCCTCCAGAGCAGAGGCTGTGGTGGGCAGGGTCCAGGCAGTGTCTAGAAAGTGGTTCCTTCAGTACCAGAGAGACATGGATCTGTTGGGGCAACTCCTGAGGAGGACCACAAAATGATCAGAGGGATGGAACAGCTCTATGAGGACAGGCTTGAGGGAGTTAGGGTTGTTCATCCTGGAGAAGAAAAGGCTCTGGGGAGACTTTGTTGTGGCCTTTTAATATGTAAAGGTGGCTCATAAGAGAGATGGGGACAGACGTTTTAGTAGGGCATGTTGCAATAGGGCAAAGGGTAAAGCTCTTAAACTAAGAGGGTAGATTTAGGCTAGATATAAGGAAGAAGTTGGTTTATTTTTTTATGATGAGGGTGGTGAAACACTGGAACAGGTTTCCCAGAGAGGTGGGGCTTGCTTTATCCCTGGAAACATTCCAGGTCAGGCTAGATGGGGGTCTGGGCAGCCTGATTTAGTTGCAGATGTCCCTGTTCATTGCATGGGTGTTGGATTAGATGACCTTTAAAGGTCCCTTTCAACTAAAGGTCCCATTCAAGCTATTCTATCATTCTATGATTTACTTTAGCTGTAGGCATGAGAGACCTGCTGTTTTCTGTGAGGGGGCTTGGAGGGGATTTGTGTCAGCTGGGGGTGACAACTGTTGGACATTCCCAGTGTCTTATCAGCTTCATTCCTTAGGCATAAGGCTGTCATTAGGATTTGCTTTGTTCCAGGAGCTACTCTTAGATGCAAGTCTACGCTGTTCCAAAAAAAGGCTGAGAGCCCATTCCTTTGTCATATACCTGCTTTCCTCCCCAGCCTCACGGGTATTTTAAATTCTTCTGGGTCAGAAAGCCAAAATGTCTCAGTTGGAGGGATTTGCAGGTACTTTTGTGACACTACTCTGGCTCTGTTTGTGTAGGGATTGGTAATTGCTTATGGGGTTTTTTGTGCCTTTTTAAAAATGTGCTGAAGAGTGAGCAAATACATGCACCTTCTGGTAGGATTTATTGTGGAATGACTTAATCTGCTCTTGTTTAATGTGGTCCCATGGACAGCCTGTACTACAAAATGAGCTATGGTCCAGCAGCACTGGTAAACCAGATTTATAAGATTGACCTGCTTCAGACTTGTGTAGGGAATACTAAAGAGGCAGGGCAGTGAACTTCCCAGCTACTGATCAGCTCTTGGAGTGTTTTCCTTGTCCTATGGACTACTGCACTCCAGAAAAATGCAGCTCCTCACATAAGTCAGAGAAGGATCTTGTCTGGGATTTGCTGCAAACTGCCAGATGCTACCGAGGAGGGCAAGGGGGCTCTCAGACTGGAAAGTTTAGTGTGCACACACCAGGAAAATCCTTCTGCTCCCAAAGTCAGAGGCTGCTTCATGCTGTATAACCTCAGGATTTGTTGTCTCTTACAAGTAGTCTGTGCTCTTAAAATCACTCTTGCTGCTATCTCAGCATCCCATCTGACTTGAAACCTGCTGTGCTGTGGGTCTTGGAGTCCTTATGGATGGTAACTTCCATGGCATGTGACTGTACTGGAATCTGTGTGCTTGACTAATGGAGCAGCGAGATGCTGAGAGACAGCAAAAGAAAATCAGCTGTTAATTTATTTGTCTTCCCTGTCATGACTGGCTTTGTTTTGAATCTCCTTCAGAGCTCTGTGTGTTCAGGAGAAATTCTTAACAAGGAAGATTTGTCTTCCCCCTTGCCACCTAATGAAGCAAAAATAAAGTGGCAGACAGACTTGCTTTATTGCCAGTGGAAAGGCTGGAGCTGAAAGCACTACCTGAGAAACTTGTGTGGGTTTCTAATGAGCTAGAAGGAAGTAAGCCTTGATGTCAAGAGGCTTTTAAAAGGTTAAGTTTCTCTGCTGCTGGTTGAGCTCCCATGGGTGGATGGATGCTCATCCACTCTTGGACCCCAACTGTTCTCCTGACTTAGTTCCATTTGCAGTCAGCCCCAAATCAGGAATAGTGGGGAGAGTTGTCAGCATGCAGGAGTCATTTATCAAGTGATGGAAAAGTCATTTGTGTGCTGGAGTCCCTTGGCTGCACCAGCTGTTGTGCATGGAGCAGATGGAGAGCTGCAGGAACCCAGCCCTGCTGCAGCTGGTCCCAAACAGAGGGGACACTCTCTGCTTTAGTGGTGTTCTTGGGCTTGGGAGGAAGCCTGCAAATCTCTTTTTTGGGGTGGGAGACAGTGTGGCAGGAGTGCAGCCATGACCTCTGCAGGGCGTACAGCCCTCAGCATCTCCTCTGCCATGGGCATGGACATTGCCAGCACGCTTCACTTGTGCCAAAGATTTATGGGTGGGCTGCTTCACAGGGCTTTGTGAAAATGGGTGGCAGAAACCCACCTGTAATTGCTAGAGAAGATACAGTTTCTGTATAGCCCTGGGTGCTGCTCATGGCAGCCAAATGGCATCCATAACTTTGTGTTTTCTTGTCTTGCAGCTGAGCTTGATCCTGATTCAACACGACCCTCCATGCCACTATTTCCTCTGCTCCAGAGAAGATAATTGAAGGATGTTTCTCTTCTAACTGCTTTGGGTACAGCCTGACTCCTCTTGGGGTTTGAGCAATACCCCACACTGCCTCCAGATGGATAAAAGGAACTAGATCAGCTGACAAAA